AAATGTGGAACAAATGTGCCAAGGAAGTTGACTCCGGAGGTGTGCAGCGTTTGATAGGAGGAATAAAGAAAAAATTCCAATTGCAAATTTTCATTAGAAACGAACAGAAATGATTTGTATTGATATGTTTTTCTAAAAGTACAGTAAATTACCTTTGTTTTGATGTATTAACCTTATTTGTACGTCAATCCGTTACCGAGATACAGATGATTTTATTATTCCGGATTTTAAATGGACTCAATAGCTTTAGAATGTGCCATTTTGCTTTAATCTTCATATAGTTATTGTTGCTGATCTTTTATGCTGGCCATTGATGTATGCTATCTTAACAGTAATCATAGTTTATAACTACTCAAGATTTCACAAATTCAAAAGATAGTTCCAGTGGAACTATTGGAACTGAACTCCCCTTGAAGTTTCATATCTTTTTGAAGCTTACTAATCATCTTTGAAAAGTTCCCGCTAATGTTCATTAACGTTCCTGAAATTTTTGGATCATCCCTTAATTTCCATAGATTTCTATGAAGCTCTCAAAAAATTTCTGAAGATCTCTGCACTTCTGTGAAGTTATCGATGTTTTCTGAACCAGCATAAATTGAACAGCAACGTAGAAACCGAATTGGTAATGATTTGTAAATCTCCAGAGGTATTCTGAGTTAAACGCATAAAGCGAAACCATATTTAGGTATGTTTTCATTGGTTTTTTTTTTTTTTTTTTTTGAATTTAAGTATAATCATATCCATAATCTTTTTTTTTTTTTTTAAAATGCGTTTATTTTTCCAGGCTCATTTGCCGTAGCTTTGCGGAGCCGATATTCATTGTTTGGATGACAAAATTTCTTAAAACTAACGTTAGTAAAGCGGGGGCCGATTACTCGCGGCTATCTCGAGGTTAGGGGTAACAAATTGTAACAAATGGATGGCAGGGTAGGGATTGAGAACACAAGGTTTGGAGAGCAATGTGCTTTTTATCTCGAACTAAGCGACCAACTGACGAAAAAGACAAACATGGGGGTACACCGATGGGCAGCTAACAACTTGGGGGAACACAAGATGACACTAACTACTAAATCCTCAGATCGATCCGTTTTAAAAACACATAAATTAAATTAAAATATTCGAGATCTCGGCTCGCCAAGATGTCTCTAACGGGCCGCATAGGTTGTTTTCCTCGGGCCCTGAGGGATGCGGATAACTTGGATCTAGCAACACAATGTAGGGTGCATGACCAAAGCACGTGGTCGATATCGTGATAGCCACTACCACAAGCGCACAAATTGCTGCCTGCGAGCCCGATTCGGAAGAAATGCGAGTCTAACGAGTAGTGATTGGACATGAGCCTTGATATGACACGTATAAAGTCACGGCTCATGTCCAATCCTTTGAACCATGGCTTGTTCGACACCTGTGGGAGAATAGAATGTAACCATCTTCCCAGATCACTCTCATTCCATTTTTGTTGCCAGTTGGTGAGGACGTGCTGACGGGTAATTGAGAAAAATTCCGCAAAGGCGATTTGTCGATCAAAAATATCGCCTTCCATAGCGCCCACCTTAGCTAGCGAGTCCGCTTTCTCATTACCCGGAATTGAGCAATGAGATGGGACCCAAACTAAGGTGATAGTATAGGAGCAGTTAGATAAAGTACTCAATTTTGCTCGGATTTCGGTAAGGAAATACGAGGAGTGCTTCATCGGCCTCATTGATCGAATAGCCTCCAACGAGCTAAGGCTATCTGTAAAATTAAAATAGTGATCAGATGGTAGTGAGGCAATTTGCTCTACTGCGTAGAATATGGCTGCTAGTTCCGCAACGTATACGGAACAGGGTTTTTGCAGTTGATATGAGGCGCTATGAAATTCGTTGAATACTCCAAATCCAGTGGAAGCGTTTATAGTTGACCCATCTGTGAAAAAACTCTTATTGTTACTAACATGGTGGTACTTGTTTGCAAAAATTAAGGGAACAACCATCGATCGATGGTGATCTGGTATTCCACGGATTTCTTGCAACATGGTCAGATCAAAATTTACAGAGGAACTATAAAAGTCTTGGAGGCAAACACGAGAGGAATTGAATGAAGAAGGGCCAATCTCCAGCGTCATGTACTCGTAAAAGAGACTCATGAATCTTGTTTGAGGATTTCTGTCGAGCAGCTTCTCAAAGTTTTCTATTACTAATGGGTTCATTACTTCACAACGGATAAGAAACCGGAAGGACAGTTCCGCGAAACGATCTGTCAGTGGGAGAACACCCGCGAGTACTTCGAGGCTCATCGTATGCGTCGAGTGCATACAGCCAAGCGCGATTCGGAGGCAACGGTATTGAACCCGTTGCAGCTTCAGGATATGTGTTTTCGCCGCGGATTGAAAGCAGAAGCTTCCGTACTCTAGAACCGACAAGATGGTTGTTCGGTACAACCTGATCAGATCTTCCGGGTGTGCTCCCCACCAAGTTCCAGTGATTGTACGAAGAAAATTGATTCTTTGTTGGCATTTTTGTTTCACATACGCAATATGTTTTCCCCATGTGCTTTTGGAATCGAACCAGACACCTAAATACTTGAAAGATATACTTTGAGTGATTGTTCTACCCTTTAGTTGAAGCTGTAACTGTGCAGGATGATGCTTCCTAGAAAAAACAACCAACTCAGTTTTCTCCGGAGAGAATTCGATACCCAGCTTCATAGCCCAAGTAGACAAATTGTCTAAGGTATCTTGCAATGGTCCTTGCAGGTCCGGTGCACTTGGCCCTATAACGGATACAACGCCGTCATCTGCAAGCTGCCTTAGCGAGCAATTTTCATCAAGACAACCATTAATGTCTTTTACATAAAAATTATAAAGAAGGGGGCTTAAACATGAACCCTGGGGGAGACCCATGTAACTAATTCGTGAAGTTGTCGAGTTTCCATGAGAAAAGCTCATATATTTCTCAGACAACAAGTTGCTCAAATAGTTGTTCATAATTGGTGAAAGCCCACTATCGTGGAGTTTATCCGAAAGGACATCGATACAAACAGAATCAAAAGCCCCCTTAATGTCCAAGAAAACTGAACCCATTTGCTGTTTTTGCGCATAGGCCAGTTGAATTTCAGTTGAAAGCAACGCAAGACAGTCGCTCGTTCCTTTGCCTCTCCGAAATCCAAATTGCGTATCTGAAAGTAAACCATTCGACTCGACACATTTGTCTAGACGAAAAAGAATCATTTTCTCCAACAATTTCCGTATACAGGACAGCATCGCGATGGGACGGTACGAGTTATAATCCGACGCGGGTTTACCGGGTTTTCGAATGGCGATAACTCTTACTTGCCTCCAGTCATCCGGAACAATGTTGTGCTCCAGAAATTGATTGAATAAGTTCAACAAGCGTCTCTTCGCGACATATCCATAATCTTGAACTTATTAAGTCTCGAACTTGAGGCTTAATAAGGACAACCAATTTCCTCGGAAAACACAAGTCGGTTGCGCCATGGCTTGGGTTTCATACTAAGGTTTTGATTTGGTAACTTACTGGTAGTTTTGGGAACTTTGCTTTGCACGAGATTTTGCCCACGAATGTTAGGAAAATTTCTAAAAAATTTTCAAGGTTTTCCTGAAATTTTGAGAAAGTTAAGTATGATATGAGATAAATGAGAAAACAAAAATTATGGGGTTTGGAAAATTTTGACGGAGCTTTTGGAAACGAATCACAATTTCAAAACGAAAGTATAAAAGGATTTTGTAGACGTTCAAAGAACATTAAAGCGATTTTTCGCCCCTGGGATTTTTGTTGGGTGGCAAATGCCATCTTCGCTACATGTAGAGTACGGTGCTGCTCATCATGCAGCAGCGATAAGGTGCAAATGTTTTACAACACACCATATCAACTAGATAATACACTATTTGAAACAACGTCATCAACGTCAGGGGCGGACGCATCGTTAACATTGGGTGCGACTACTTAGCTCAAATTTTACGAACACAGCACTGCGTCAAATTTTCCTATTACTATAATGACGATGTCATCCGCAAAGCCCACAACTTCGAAACCTTTTGCTTCCAGGCTTTTTAGAAGATCATGTACAACAAAAGACCACAGCAGTGGTGAGAGAACTCCTTCTCGAGGACAACCTTTCGTTGCCTTTACTGATATAGATGAGCTACCCAGTCCAGAAGTGATTTCCCTTTTTTCAAGCATAGTCTGAATCCAGTTGGACGATGCGCCTATCGAAGTTCCTTGCCTTCATGGCGAAAACTATAGAGGAATAGGATGCGTTATCAAAAGCTCCTTCAATATTCAAGAAAGAGCAGAGTGCAATTTCTTTAACTGAAAGAGATTTTTCACCTTAGTTGCAACGTGGATGATTTGTTCATGTCCACAGAAAAACAAAATTCCACTGAAATTGGTCGGCTTCCCCTGCCATATTCCGCGAATGGGGAGCGTTAGAAAGTAAGAAGCCATAAGCATCCATCCGTCGGAAATCAGAAATGAATGTATGTGTATCTTCTGAACAATGGCAAAGACAAAGAATCCTTCTCAAAACGACACAACATTTCAGATCAACAAAACCGCTCATGGGAGCTTCCAAAGAATGAATAAACTGAATAAAATTAAAGGAACGTAATGTTTCATCAGATGAAACAAGTAACTGGTCCAATCTGTTCATGCGACAATCCTATATTCGATGAAATAGATTGAAACATAATTCCCAATCAACCAATCAACTAATAGCTTTGGAATAAGTTAACCATTTCAAGTCACAACAATACATAAAACAATTCCCGCTGAACTTGAACATTCCCCGAAAGACCGAAAGAAGAAATTATGGATTTCCGTCAAACAATTCAGCATAATTGTTCCGGCAACGGTTGTCCAATTTGGTTCGTTAGCAGTCCACCTCCGTACGGTCGTGTCGACCCAACTGAAGAGTTTGTGTCGCAAATTCCTCCAGCCGAACCGTAAATACTTTCGATATTGAATATTTCCTTTTTCATTTCTCTTCCCATTTCCGTTTAGGTCCCTCCGCTCCGGTATGGCACTGTTGATCTATAGCTCGTTGGTTCTGTGCGTAGGTGCGGTGTTGGCCTCCCAGCACTCTCCCTACTCACTTCAGGTCCGTATCCAAACAACAAATAATTTCCCACTTTTCCAATTCATGGCCTCCTCTTTTACCATTTGCATGGTACAGGCCGCCGTCGATGCCCTGCACCGGCGTGAAGCCCAACTGGCACTGCGAGACGAAAGCAACGGGGAATCGTTGGACGACGAAGGGTACTGGTTAGAGCGTAAGTATTTAGCAAACATTCTCAGCTATCGCAAATGGTGTGAGCATTAAGATTCCATTTCCATTCGGTGCGTGCCACGATGCAGCTTCCGATGATCAACCGGCGTATCGACCGAACCGGCAGCAGTGGAATAAGATTCTGGCCAGCTACCTGCGCCGGGATGACGACCTGGACGAGGCACCGTACGATCCGTACGAGCTGGAGGCACGCAAGCGGTCCGTCTTCCGCGAACGGGATGGTGAGTTTCTGTGGAAAATGTATGCTTCACTATTCATCCTTTTAATTCGGGTAATGATTTCCACTTCTGATTTGATTTTCAAAAGATGATGAGGCCTTTTCAATTGTTGATCTTGAATGCCTATAAGCATTATGTCCAAAATTGTTTTGAAAGGGCTGACGAATGTTAAAATTACCATAACAAGGCATTTTTCAATCCACTATCCTCCCCTTTTATTTGGTAATAAGGGCTATGATGAGAAAATCAGAATTATTTATTTCTTTAGTTAATTTTTCTCATCTTTTTCTTAATTTTGACTATGGCGGCAGTCATTTGTCCCTTCATGGCTCTGAATGTTAATTTGCAGTTGTTCTGTCGATGAGGCCCCAGTTTCACATTTCCAGAAATAAATAAAGAACATTTCCAGAAACCTCACAATTTCGCTAGAAATTTAAGCCTCTTTGATACGCAGTACAAACTTTAGAAATATCATGCAATGCGAGTGTTATATGATTACATCATCCACAACATTTAGGTCGTTAATAAAGAAGCCACGTTCGACCACACATTAACCCTCAATCAAGATTCATTATCACTCCGATTGATAGCACAAATCTCCCTCCTCCTCCTCCCGCCTATCATCCAATCCTCTGCTCTGTTTTCCCCGATCCTTTCCCAGGAAACCACTCAGATTCCATCGTCCCACATCGGCTGCGTCGAATGTGGTGGAAAGTCGAACAATCGAATTCAAACACTTTGTGAAACCATGCGAAAACTCGCATCTACCCATTTTCTCCGCCTCAGTGCCATTGAATTCAGCCTGTCGCACCCGTAACCACCCACATTTCCTCCCACTCCAACCAACCAAAAGCCAATGAAAATGAAACTAATAGCAAACCGGTCTGTTTCATTACTCCGGATTTAGTTACAGCGCTCGGCGAGCTACCCGCATATCCAACCGTATTCAGAGAGCGTGAAATGGAGAAATCCTACCAACCGCGGCCGGATTTATCCAACGATTTCCTCAAGGAAATCGACCGGCAGGCCAACATCGAGAGGGAGGAAAAATATCTGGACCAGCTGAGGCAACTTTGGGACAAGTACCAACAGCAAGAGAACGAAATCGAACAGGAACTTTTCGACGAAGATAGGGCAGCCGCTGAAGAAGCAGCCCTCGGTGGTCCATACTACGACAAGCGACAGGGCTACCCTGCTGTGTCGCAATCGGAAGCGGCGGCCATGTTCTACGGCCCACCGATGGAGGAAAGGAAGCGAACGCTTCCGATTCTGCCCTGGCTACCGGCGACACGGAAGAAGCGATTCCCCGTCGCCAAGCGGTCACCGAAACCCGAAGCCAGCGCGTCCGGTACGAACGACAAGGTGGCCAAAGATCTGCAAGCGTTGTTCGGTGAGCCCGAGGAAAGCAAGAAGAAACGATCCAGCGAGCCGGAGGTAGAGAAGAAACAGGAGAAGGCAAATGAGACCAAGTCCCACGAGAAACGAGACGCTAGTGGTGAACATGCTAAACATGAGGAGCACAGCTCGGAGGAAGACCACGAAGATGACGAGCACGATCATGAACACGATCACGACCATGAACATGATCACGACCACGATCATGAGCGCGATGGAGAGTCCAGCGAAGAGTTCGAAGGCGAGGATGAAGACAAAAAGAAGCGATCGGTGAAGAAACGATCCAATTTGGAAGTGGTCAAGGAAGATCAGATCCTCCCAGGGGACATTGGCGAGTTCAAGGCGAAGAAGTCGATCCAATGGAACAAGTATTTCGGTATTGATCGGAGGAAAAAAGATGGCCGCAATGGTGGAGCGTACCCGTTGAGTTTCTACAAGACCTACGACGATGATCGCAAGAAGAAGACGCTGAGTCAGGACAAACTGGAGAAAATGAACCGGAAACTGAAGACGATCGAGGATTTGATCCTGGATCAGACGGTCAAGTACACTGGGGATCATGAAGGTAGGTTCAATTTGCTCGTTTAAATGTGACCGTTTTTGGCAGCTAAGTTTTCGTTTCAGGTGGTCTAATTGAACCGGAAGAGCTGCAGAAACTGAAGGATAAAGTTGTATCACGTCTCGCCACGGCCTACAGTATTGAGAAAATGCGCCGAACCCTGGACAAGTTGAAGGATTCGGTTGGCGATGACGGAAATGCGGTGCAGAATAATGAGATCGACACCGACAAGCGGGATGATAAGAAGGAGAAAGCAAAGCGAGTGGCCGTTAAGAAGGAGAAGGCGGAGTACGATCATAGCGAGTAAGTTGATTAAAAGGGATTGTTTCATCGCTGATAGTTGATTCCGATTTGAGGGTGTGCTGTGCAGCTTGACTGCGATCTTTACAACTTGACTTTCCTTCACAGACACTCCATGGAACCGGTCGAGAAAGTCAGCAAAGATGACGTGGAAAACAACCTGGACGAGCTGGACGACGATAAGAAGAAAAAGAAGAAGAAGCGCCTCACAAAGCGGTATCAGGAAGTTTTCCGCAACGATGTACCGGAATTTGAGGAGGAGTTGGGCGCCGGTCACTATGCACCAGTTGGCGATAGCTATGGAAGAAATTTAGCAGTGGGTAGGTTGTTCGAATCATTTCAATCGAAACTCCTCAACTGAATTATGTGCTTTTTCAAGAAACTAACGAGTGTCCCCTTCTGGACGCTTTGGAACGCAGATGTAGAGGAGTTGATGTACTAAGTGGTGACATCTACCAGGAGCTGCTACCGGCCTGTGGAGTTCACCAGCTATGTTATCTATGCGTAAGTCTCGATCAAGTAATATGGGCAAATAAGCATCAGTACTAAGTGACCTTCCATCCTAAATAGGGCAAAACGCAGAGCGTTTGCGACTTCCAGTACCTGGCTGAGGCGGACAGTATCTGCGAGGGTCAGTCCAACTGCCTGTCGACGGCACGGTCCGCCCTGATGATCCTGCGTGGATTCCCGGGCCCACAGTTGGGACCACGGGAGTGTTCCAAGAACCCTTGCCTCTACCGAGCGATGCTCGAACTTGGTGTCAGTGGATTGTAAGCGCGCCATATTTGAATTGTCTAATACAAACCAACACACTTTCATGCTGCAGTGCGAAACGAGAATTTTTGGTTTGTCTCTTTGACGTCTATGTAGGTATTTGCTAAAAATGAAACACTAAATAGTGGACAATTGGAATGATGGAGGCCCCCCAGTCCGCCTTCAGTCCGATATCGCATATCGAGCAACAACAACAACTCTCTTTAATCCCCCATGAATGTGTGTCTGTAAAAAACAAGATTACTCTATCATAAAAAAAACACAAAATGATGTCAGTAAAGGATGCATCTCTTGGGAATGGGATGTACTAAAGTATTAATTTCACTTTTGTGAAGCTTCTCAACGAATACGAGGTAAATTGAGTTTGATGAACAATTCCGATTGTTTTGCCAAGATGTGTGACCACTGTTGAAACAATGAGATTATTTTAGTTTTAAGCACTACTTTTTAACTTTTGCGAATGTATTATCGTTTGACATTCTACATATTTGTGTACTAAAAAAGCGGTATTTACATATAAAGTACTAAACATTAAGATGAAGGATAATCTACTTCAAAACCTATTGTAAAACACTTTAACAATTTTATGAAATAATTAAATGTGATTATATCTGTACTAAAATGTACTAAAAACACATTGAGCGTTAAAAACAAGAAACCCCTTAACAAACACACCCGAAATTGGTAACCCATTAGTTTCATCTCATCTGCCGAGACACCTCCTTGTTTAATCGATCGAGAATGGACGAAAAGAACGAAATAAATCTGACAATAAAATTCCAAACGAATCCAGACGACGCCACAACACGAACCAGCAAAGTTAAGACCATAACCTAAAAACAAATGTAATGTGTGCAGCTATAGTCTTTGAATTGTACTAAAGAAAAATATGAGATTGAGAACAACTACCTAACTATGTAAGCTTCCGTTGTTTTTTTTTTCTCCAGAGTATCCAGAGTAAAATAAAAACTGAAATATTTAGAGCATTCCCAAATATTGACAAGCATTGAAAATGTACTGTGGCAACACTTTGCAAGTATCTTTGAGTGGAAAATATTTAATGAAAAACTATGACGTGTTAGGTCAACACTTATAAGTCATAGGTATTTAAATCAATGAGAATAACAAAAAAAAAACAGATAATGGAAGACAAGTGAAACGAATCTATATATCTATAAATATACAAACGCAGACAACATACAAAGATAAAAACAAATGAAATCTAAAGTATGAATGAAATAAAGTCAGTATTTGTTGAAACTTTAAAAACACTCCACAAATCGACGTGTTTCCTAGTTTGATTTTATTGATCTGGCTCTATCGGATCGATTGCGGGTGGTGGGTGACTGATGACAACAACCGCCTTGCAGCCCGTCCGATGTTCGATGATGTCGCTCGCAATGGGGCAGAAATAGCGATAACGATTGATGATAAGATAAAAAAAAATGTATATGCGACATTGCCGGTGGATTTGCCTTGCTTAACTTCTGTGGATGTGATATTTTTGATTTTCGATGAGATTGCGAGCATGGTGTTTTGTCAAAAAGGGAGAAAGAGAGAAGGATTAGTAATTTCCATTTCATTCCACTACCTTTATTGCTTATCCTTGACAGATACGCGTATTTCGTCTACAATGTGTTTTGTACTAATGCTCATGTACTAATAGTCGAGTATTAGTACAAGACACTGATGAAGTCTGTACATTGTAGATGAAATACGCGTATCTTGTAACCAGTGGTTCAAAATAGTTACTTGTAGGCTCCTCCACAAGTTTCCTCATCCCAATTGGCCCTCCTGCCAGTGAGCACCTAATACCAATTCCCAAATCCCATTAAAATACTGGACAGCTTTACTGGTGGCCGAAATTCATAACTGTCATTGTGATGCGCAGAGCCAAACTGTCTATTGATGAATCTACGCGAAACTGCACCAGTGCATGCGACACATAGGTTTGCAATCCAAAACCACAAAAGTGATGATGTACTAAAAAATATTCCATACGATTTGACAGGTAGCAAAACGTCATTATCATTTACTCATCATTTCGATCTGCTGGTCGACCGTAACGTAAATTCCTCAATTAAAAAATCATCCGTTACGCATTTCACCTTTGTCGTTTATTGACAGCGGTTTGAGCCAACCGGTTTAGTACTAATCGACGTCCTAGTTGGAATGGTTGCCAACTGTTACGAAGTCCGGTTTACAAACTTCGGGTCCTCCACTTCAGTTCCAACATTTCAAGGGGCGTAATTGCATTTGTAAACAATGCCTTTAGCCATCGATTTCTTGCGAATAAAAGCTCACTAATGAAAAATAATGACACCAACAGGTAGAGGAATGTTTCCTCTACCAGCTAGCATTGTTATTTTGAAGGCGTGAGCTTTTATTCGCGAGTAATTAATGGCTAAAGCCATTGTTTACAAAATCAACTACGCCCCTTTGAAATGTTGGCACTGAATTGATGAATTTACGTGACGGTCGACCAGCAGATTGAAATGATGTGACACACGATAATGACGTTTTGCTACCTGTCAAATCGTATGAAATATTTTTTAGTACATCATCGGTTTTGAAATTGCAAATATGAAATCTAGGTGTCGCATGGCCAGTTTTACCTTTGCTTGAATTCATCAATTATAGAAGTAAAATAATATAATAGATGATCCATAGTGCCCAGATTCGACGGAGTTGTGGAGTTGCCGCTAGTCCCACGGTATGCATCCCCCGTTCACCACCACTGATTGAACCGACCCCGGATCGGCCGGACAACTGCAAGCTGCCCTTGGAGGGCCCGCCCATCGTTTCGTCCCCCATCGTCTATGCATGCCAACGTAGTTCATCGTCATCAAAAACAAGCGCAAGTACACCCGAATGTTTCTCTCTAAAAACTCTCTCTAGAGTCCATTGGAATAAATGAAGCATATAAACCTAATTATCGGCTACTATTACTTCACGAAACACTCCCTAAGTTCCTTCATTCTTTTTTCTCAATTCTCGTGCCGAAAAAGGGATGTACAAGCCTCACTCTTTTTGGTCCGCATTTAGAACCGCTACTTTGGATCATCTCCACCTAGTTTCTAAAATTTGATTGGTTGCTATTCGTCCAGGAGCTGTCCACCGACAATTGTGTGGCTCCTGCCAAGGTAAGTGACTTGGGTTGAAGTTGCTTAACAGTGTTCAGGAATAAGCGACGCCGTGCTCTGCGAATATCCTTCCTAAGAGAATTCCCTTCGAAGCAGCCTGGGAGGTAACAATCTGTCAAGGATAAGCAATTAGAGTAGTGGGAAATTACTAATCCATTTATCTTTCTTTGTGCAGGGTTTAAAAATAGACGTTTAGTTCTAAAAACGATTTGAAGTATGTATCCCAACTAAAATGAACTTTTGACAAATTCAAATCTAACTTTATAACAGTTCTCTACAGTGGATTTATTACATCCTCTACACATGTTTCTTATGAGAAATGGTTTGGTAGTTCTTCGGTTGCGTTTCAGAATCAATACTTCCATCTAAAACCTTCAGATTCATATTTCAGTGAGATTCGACGATCTTGTAGCTAAAGCCCTCTAGTAAAAGTATGGACGACTGTCACAAAAAAACTGGAAAAAACGCTATCCTAATCGAACAAAGCTTCCGGCAAACGTTCAATCTTTTTCTAGAGGACTTTACTTGTAGCCATACAAAACTTAGAAATCATCATCATTTTTGGCTCTGAACCATTTGGCGGATTTTTTAAACTTTTGGTTAAAATTTGACAGATGGAAAGTTATCGATAAACCCTGCTATCCGAGCGTGGTTATTTCTGACAGACAAGAAGTTAAATTTTGACAACCGTGGCTGAGTTCTACTCGAAAACCGATCGATCGGTAACACAGGGATTTTCGAACATGAGAAATAACTTTCGAAATGTCACTTTTAACCACGAGTTAAATTTAACTCGGCAAATGGTTCATAGCCTAAATTTAACTCGGCAAATGGTTCACAGCCTTAATAGTGCTTAAGCCGAGTTTAGACGAGACAACTGAATTGAATTCAACTCATCCCGATCTGGTAGTCAGCGTTCAATTGACTTGACATCGGATAGAGGAACGTTAATTTCGCAGTTCAAGTGATTTGAACGCTGAATTCAAATCGGGCTTTTTGTTCACCACGCTCCACACTGATCCAAACGGTGAAAAACGTTATCGCTTGGAATTACTCCAAAACCTTTAATTTTAGGTATATAGTGTCTTCGGGGCAGTTTCCAGGTATACAAAGTCCTATCTTTTGACGGTACCATTGGTTGATTAATCCCCTTAAAAGCGAGACCATTTGGTGAATTTTTACTTAAATTTGACAGATGGAAAATTTTCAAATAAACCTGCTATTCCAGCAGACTTATTTCTGACAGACAAGGAATCAATTTTGACAGACGCTTTCTCGAAAATCGCCCGATCAACAACAGAGGGATTTTCGAACATCTTAATTTATTTTTGAAGTGTCAAATATAAGTCAAAATTTTTCAAATGGAACACAGCCTAATACTCGAGTGTTAGAACAAGCATTAGACATAGTGAGCATCCCGCAGTTTGGTCCTGGATCTCTAGCTGCCTGAAACAAATCAACTGGTAGTAGGTTCAATATCATTATGATATTAATCCTACCACCAACCAATTTGTTCCGAACGGCCGGAAGTCTAAGCTGGTGCTCACTATGCTCCACCTGTTCACTATGCTCCTCTTACCCCTATATGTCAAGGATAAGCAAATAAGGTAGTGGAATTAAATTTAGGAAGGATTAGTAACCTTCTCTCTCTCTCTTTATATTTAAAGCAAACAACTTTTTCCAAGACACCAACACAATTCACACAATAAAGCAATAAAGCTTTGAGTCATTTAATATCTGAACGCACTGATTAATTTACTGCAGTGCTCCTAGCGGTCAGATCTGGAATGTTTTGACAGCAGTTTGTTTTGAAATGCTTCTTCTTTCACTGCTGAAAAGTTCGTCATGCTTCATTTTGTAGAAGTTGTATTGCTGATTGCATCTGAAACTGGACTGTCCCAAAAATGCAAAAAGTGTGATAAAAGTGCACGTTTCCGTCAAATCGTTTTGATGTCTTCGGAGCACTTATTGCTTGCATCATAAAGAATAAGTGCACCGAAGACACCAAGACTATTAGACGTAAAGTTGCAGTTTTATCACACTTTTTAATAAGTGAAAACGCGCTTATTAGTCCAATTTGGTGTGAAACGCGCAATATTTGATGGAAGCCGCGAACCGAAAATTAATTTTCGACACCCACTTGGAAGGTTCAGGTCATGTTAAAATATCGTGAAGTCGTTGAAATAGGCTAAAACGCTGGCCAGACTGAGCAGTTATAACATGTTATAACGGTTGTCAAATAATTGCAACACAGAAACCACCATCAAGATAGTGCTATAACATGTTATAACTCTGTAGTCTGAACGTAGCATAAATCGACCATGTACAGTGTTCTCAAACGTTTCCGTGAGCGGCATACTATCGATCGGCAGGATTATAGCAACCGGCGTACCGGCGTAGGATCGGAAGCTGCATTTGATGGTGTTGAGAATGATTAGGGCAAACCAAGGGCTGTCAGATTATGATTCGCCAAGAAATTCAATGTCAGCCAAAACACCGTCAGTAGGATTTGTCAGCGAGAAGGATTTCGATCTTTTCGGGCCAGTAAGTAACCAAAAAGGACACTCAAGCAGAATCTAGTGGCCAAAAGACGTACCTGGAAGTTGTACAATGAGGTTCTTACAAGGGGTAGGTCACTCCGCACACCAATCTTGGGCCATCTTTTTTGTCAGTTCCCGGTTCTTCTGACATTTTGAATGTTTTTGTTTAAAATCGCACGGACAAATCGGATTGATGATGAAGTGGCGGGTGTACGAAATTTTGGTGTTAGGAGAGAGAGCAGGGAATCCGTTTGAACTTGTTCTAACTTTCGACAGCTTTATTATCAGTTGCTTCAAAACTTAAATAGGTGTAAAATAATTAATAAACTGTAAGTTTCCCCCATAACCTAACTTACGGTTCAGTAGCCCAATTACTCGAATATATAATCCACTGCTCACTTCAACTATGCTTTATCGATGATACTGGGCCTAACCACAATCAGGTAGTGAGTAATCTTATTACGTTAATATCTAACTCAACTTTACCTACAAATGGGAATGGTAGGAAACCATTTGGAAGTGCATGAAAATTTTCAGTTTTTATTCATTATCGTCTTATGAGCAGTTTTAGATGCACGAAAATTGCACGAGTACATTACTATGGTGATAAGGTTAACACTCGTTTATTTGTTTTCTTCTGTAAAAGCATGTTTAGTCACAAAACGTGGATTTTCTGATATTCTCCATACTGCAAAAATGATTTTCCTACCACTGAAGGGGCGACATCTCTCGGATCTTCAGTATAGCTAATACTCAAATCATATAATTAATTGGATCATTTCGATAGCTCAAAACGTAGATGCGAAAGGGCAACTTGTTTGGCCTATATCACCAGCCATATCTGTCGGTAACATTTTACTCACCTATCGAAGCACAGAAAGCACTTGTCGGTCTCACTTTCGGCCCCGCAGGTACCATACTCATCACTTAGTACCGTTACGATAAGAACGCTAGCCGCACACATCATATCGCGTTCCCAACGAATGACCTATCCAAACGTAGAAGAATGTCCCACGTCAATCCCAATCAACACCTCCAGGAGCACGACAATCCCACATTTGACCTCAGCTGGGACTACGGATACGACACGGAACTACGCGTTGCACCGCCAAACAACGTGACTCCGGTTGGTAAGTTTGGTGAAGTTAGCCCTACGGACGCGTCAACACCTTATTATTATCAACCTAATTTCAGTACACTCAGGAGAAAACCGAATCATCACTGCACAGCCACAAAATCGCGATAACAATCGTAAGTGTTCAGTTCACTTATCAAACCCCCATCATTCAGTTGTTAATGAGTGAAGCGTGTTTTTAGTGTCGACGATCGTGCCCCAGACGCCCATCAGATCAGTGAACAGCCCATTTCTGACACCATTCAACCCACGTTCAGGCTTGGATTTCCTTTATGGACTGGGATCGATCTTTATCGAGCAAACCTGTGAACTCAACGATTGTAAGTTGTTCAACAGAATTATCTCAAATCCAGCAGCTAATTCAAACTTCAAATGCCACAGTTCTATCAGCGGTTTCCTCAGAAAACCGTTACACCATCCGCGGTCCTACGAATGAAGCGCTGTACGGCGTATCGGAGAGTTCAGAACCAAGCGATCGCTGCTGGGGCTCGTTGCGGCCGTTTCAATTGTCCCTAGTCGACCGGAGCCATCAGGAGGTGTTGCTGTTGAAGAAAAATCTCGGCTGTGGAATCTTCTGTTGCTTTTGCAAGAACCAATTCCTGGAGATTTGGGCTACACCGGGAATTTTGGTCGGCTGTATCCAGCAGGACTATGGACTCGTATCGAGAGAGATCATCTTGATGAATGAGGATTTGAATACGATGTTCCGGATACCGATTCCGCTAGTGAATGCCATAAGGATGCCGAAAGAGACGCACTTCCGCGTGATGGATCGTAATCTGAGTACGCAGAAGGGAACAATCACCAGGGCGTGGAATGTGGGGAGTTCTGCGTATACGAATAATATCTACTTTAGCGAACCGGAGCTGGACGTCCGGTTGAAGACGTTGTTTGTTGGGGCGGCTTTTATGTTGGTAAGAATTGATTCGCTTTTGTGGGAATTAACATGTTTTATCCATAACATTCTCGTTTCTCAACAGGAATATTTATACTTTCAATCGAAATGCTGCTGAACACTCAGCAATTCTTGACTGACGCGGATAATTTTGTAAACACTAAAGATATTTCTTTAACAATTTGTATTCCATTTTTCTCATAAAAGTAATAATAATGATGTTTGAGGAAAAAAAACTTCTAATTCTAAGCTTTCCCCAACAAACATTGAATGTTGAATAAGAGCTTATTCAGGCAAACATAAGCTTCTTCAGCTAAAAAATAGCTTACTCAACTATTGATCAACATAAATTGTTTGTTGGGTCCTCCTTTAATATGTGTTTTATTTATATATTTTAATAAAAAAAAAATTTAGTAAGTTTTGTTATAATAACGTTTTTAATTCTGAACACTTTTTGAATCCCGCTAATTTTCATACCGTGCTCATTCAGTATATGCAATGGTATCCAGTCTATTAAATTAGTCATTTCGCATGGGGCATCAGGAACATATTCGTCTAGGGTTTTAGAGGGAGAGATTGAACTTCAAAATTATTTTACAAATGTGACTTACGATTGTTTTACGGAAAAAACGAGTATTCGAAGATAACTCTGAGAAAAAAATCAGTAAACTTCAGGTTACATTTTGGAGAAGAATTTTTAGGGAATAGAAAAAAAAAAGATTTATAAGAAAATTTTCAGATTTTAAATGAATCTTTTATTGGAGCAAGTGTTCGAAAAAAAAACTCAAAAACACAAATGTGTGAAAATCACCGATGAGTTTTCAGGTCAAAAGATTCATTTCTGTATGTGCATTGGCGTAGCAAATGGGGGTGCCAAGGGGGCCAGCCCCCCCCCCCAGAATTATCTAGACCCCCCCCCCCCATTTTGGTGTAGTTTTTATTAGAATCACCGGTATATTATTAAGCTTGTCAAGTTCGATGTTACTATTTTACTGCGATTAATAAAATTGGACTACAAATAAAGATTGTTTTAAAGTCCTTTATGTTGACTACTTTTATTATGTTCTGGGCTAGAAGAAACAATTTTGAGAAATTATATTATATCGATATTTGATCGATTGCATAATAAGACGTGTTCAGGCTTTACAAATTGGCCATGAGCCTAGGGATTTTTCTTTAACTTCTGGGAACTTCGCAAAACTTCAAGGACTTCTAAGAAGTTCAGGAAACATTGTAGAAAGTGAGGAAACTTAGTAGAAATTCTGGGAGCTTCATAGATCTTCAGAAAAATTCGTATAAACAAGGATCTTGAAAAGGTTCTGAAAACTGCGTAGAAGTGGAAAATTTATTTAAGTTTAAGGAGCTTCGTAGAAGTTAAAAGAAATTATTTTATTGCAGTGAAGCTCATTATTGATAGGGAACCTCTATATAATTTCAGGGCACTTTTTGAAGCCACATGGATTTGGAATAGTTGTGGAAATTAGATACCAATTTAAGAAAATTTGTTCGTGTAACTTTGCGGAAAATAAACGGGACACGTAGAAGTGCAGCAAAGTTTGTAGAAGTGTTACGAATTTTGTAGAAGATCTAAAAACAGTTCAATAAATTTCTAAGAACTTTAAGGATTCTCGCTTCAGGCTAGGGAACTTCGTTGCAGATTGTCAGAGTTCTTACTTTAAAAAAGCTCCATGAACTTCTTGTGAGTTTTAAGAACTTCGTTAAATTTCAAGGAACTTTCTAGATTTTAAAGAATTGATATAGATGTCTTAGGTGTCTCTTCAAAAGTTTATGAGGGGTCGTAGAGTTCTTTGCATCTCTCTTAAGTAAATGTCGGACTAACATACCTTTCCTATCGCTACCAGTTGTAAGGACGTGGCCAGGACAATCTTTAACTGTTGGAGCGGGATATGTCTTTATCTGAGAGATAGCAATTATTTTCTACTTACTATCTGTCCAGAAGGCTGATGCAAAATTTGAAGTTTTCGCTCCACGGTGTTCAAACGGTTCCAAATTGGGTCCTGATTTGCCTCCCATAAGTTGAACTAATTCATTACAAAACTGACTTGGTTTATATTTTTATATGGAAATTACTATGGGAAAACCAAATATTTTCTTCATATCTATCTCAAAATTCACCAGCTCACTCTGCTTTTAAAAATGATAACTGTGCTTGTAGAAGATTTTTTCAGCTACACCTTTGTCAAAGACGAATATTACTTTTTAATTGAATGTAAGAAACAAAAGTTATTTATGATTCAAGTCGCGCATGTCTTATGATTATGCTCAATCAACTGTTCAGCAGGCAACATTGGTGTTTCTGGCGCGTAAAATAGAGCACAAAAATCATGACTACTATGTCACACTGCAAAATAGTGTTGCCCACAAAACAGCTGCATGATCATGCCATAAGATTATCAATCTCTTAAAAAATTAATAACTATTTCATTTGACGTCTGGCTGAAAAATGATTTTCTGTAAAGATGAAGCTGAGAAAATTTCTCATAAGAATACACTGAGATTATTAATCAAACGAATTTCATAGAAATATCGTATGATTTTTTGCGACAAGATTTTATGTTGAATTTCATACGACCGAACTATGAAGAACTGTCAGTTTTTTGTCAATCAGCCATCGTATGATTTTTCATGCATATAACTATGAATCTCAATATAAACGAACGATAGCTATCATTGGACATTACGAACAATTTCATTTGTCATTTCGTATGAAACTCATAAAGGATATGAATGAAAAATATAGTTTGAGTTGATTAAATACTATGTTAGTGATGGTGACGATTAGTACTTGAGTGATTTGCTTAGTTTAATGGCTTTCTTAGTCTTAATCTCACTCTAATGACAACGATTTAATCTGCCCGACGTTTCGGCCATGGACCATGAACTAAAACCTATGACCGAAGCGTCGGCCAGATTAAATCGTAGTCTTTAGAGTGAGATTAAGACTGAGAAAGCCGTTAAACCAAGCAATTATTTATTATATTTATTATATTGATTCTGATGCAATCAGTGTGGGTTCTAGATTGGCAGGTACAACTGCGGAAACTGGGGGAAGTTCCTCGGAACCCTCCAAATTTGTCGTTGCATTAATCTTCGTCGCAGTCGGGGATGCTACTGCACCGCTGCAGCACTCTGTCAGTTGAGGCAGCTGTGTTGACTGGTGAATCTGTTGAACCCCCGGAAACGTTCACTGTGATGGACACCAGTACTTGTACTCGTGTCCGATTCCTGTTCAAAATTTTTTACTGTTGTTAAATTATCAAAACAAAAACAAAACATAAATCTGACACTTACCCGATCCGGTTGTCTCTTCCGACGTGCTGTTGAAATCGATAAAGTAGAAGCAGCTGCAGCAGCTTGCTTAACTGTCTACAAATGTAAATAAAGTTGTAAACTACAATGAAACAATACGAATTAAATTTACTTACAGGTTTACGGAGCCTTGAAGCTGGATCCGCCATCTTGTGTTTTGTTGTTGTTTTGATTTGCACTGTCGAAATAAATTCCATACGATCATCGTATGATTTTTTGCCGTAAGCTGAACCAAAATAATTCATACGATGTGTTTATGAAATTTTTATGTTTTTCGTATACCTTTTGTTGTATCAAATTATGAATACTATAGATGGAGTATGAAAACATACGATAATTATGAAATTGATTCAGGCTTGTATTTGCATGCATTCATACGATGTAGTTTATGAAATTTGTAGGGATAATTATCTCAGTGTAGCTATTGAACTTTTTAACAATATGGAAAAAGGTAATAAGACAATGAACAAAAAGTTTAACTTTCCCATAGTAATTTCCATATAAACTTCAAATGGTTTGTGCCAAGTAAGTTTCTTACCAATTAAGTTTAAAATTTGGAAGGTTAATCAGGACCCGATTTGGAACGGATTGAGCACTGTGGAGCAAAAATTTCAAATTTTGCATCAGTCTACTGTCCAGTAATAGATATCCTTCTTGCTCTTAATAGTTTTGAATTCGTACCACCTACAATCTTCGTAGAATTAAGAAAGATGGAAAACATATGGAATTTGGAATAAATTCAGGGAACTTCGCAGAAGTTGAGGAAATTTTGTAAAACTTAAGGGAGTTTGATAGATGTTCAAGAAACTGTGCATAAGTTACAGGATATTATTTCATAGATCCTTCCTAGAGAGCAGGAAATATTCATAAGATCTCCATATAGATGAATATATTAGTTGAGTTGTTTAGATATTTATGCAAGACTTCAGGTTGATCAAGTTCAGAGGATCTCCAACTGTTTAAAAATTGAAATACCCTTTCAAAACTGTAGGTTGTTCAGGAAGTATTCAAAAGTTTTCCAGCTAATTGAATCTGATGGAATCTTGAATGATGAATTTACCGTATGCGTGATAATGTTTGTACCATCGTTCAAATAAGGTTCCCGTTTCACCTGTGCATACAATGCCTTGGTTTTCTTTGCATGCACGTAACCTATAGCTCATACCGTAGTAGGCTGTAAATACAAGAAAATGATTTACTTAGTTTGACAGTTGCACCATGACGAAGTGATTTGTCCCACGCGCAAATGTCTCAAAAAGACATTTCAATTGCCGTGGGAGTGTCCCGGTGGACCGTCAAAAGGGATTTAGACCGAGAAAAGAAAGGACAACACTATCCGCGAAGGTGGTCACAGGTCATTCGAGGTTAGCTCGGGGTTATCGCTGCTATCAAAAGGAAGATTCGGGTGAATCCAGTGCGTTCAATAAGGAAAATGGCAAAGGAACACGGGATCAGTGACTTTACGGCACGGAAGATCGTAAAGAAAGATTGCGGGGCGAAGCCGAGGGCACGGAAAAAAAACTCACATGATTACCAACCGCATCCGGGAACTACGAGTCGATCGATGCAAGAAAATCTTAAGCGTAAAAATCCGGTAATCCTGTTCACCGACGACAGCATGTTTACCGTCGATCCCGTATCAAATTCCAGAACCAACCGGTATATTAGTTCTCTTCCGGTAAAAGACGTGGCCGACGAGCACAAGAACGTGTATAGGACCAAGCATCCTGCTAGCGTTATGGTGTTTGGATTGGTGGCTTCCCATGGCAAAAAAAATGGACCCGGTGTTCATTCCAGAAGGCGACAAGGTCAACACGGAGTTCTACATCGGGATTTGAAGTAA